TTGGGTTGTTACAGATGGTCGACCAGATCGAATTATGTTTGAAATTATGAACATTGCTCAACATCATGAAAATTAAACCTTATTTTCAATAAGCAATCCTGAAAAATATTTGGGGGTGCTTAACTTTTTTCCAGGTGTATATATTAAGTAAGTGAATTGTAATTATTATAGAATTTATTTAGCTAAAAAATGTTCATAGTCAGACAGCTGGTTGTCATGTAATAAACTTTATTTAAAGGTTGGTCTTAACTTTGTCCACGTCAAGGTATATTTTAATATGTTAGTATTATCATGCACATGAGAAAAGGCAATGAATGTGTAGCAAAATAACGTCACTGACCTTTCTTATGAACTATTTTATTTGTTAACTCACGTCGATGAAAGATTAGGCATTTAACTTAAATAAAAATGTGATGTGTTTAGGTGAAAACGTGCTCAAAACAATGGAATAAGTGTTATCAACATAAACGTGCTCAAAACAATGGAATAAGTGTTATCAACATAAACGTGCTCAAAACAATGGAATAAGTGTTATCAACATTTGTCTGTCTTCTTCTCATACCCATGAGTTCAAGGATCGTAAGGCAGTCTAAACTTGCTACAGGTTGTGGTTCAGAAACATAACTTTGTGTTTTTACTTCTTATAAATTTCCTTGAAAATGCAAGTAGCAAAAAGATTGGTACTGATGGTCTGGTGATAGAAACAAAAGTGTTCTTATTTTACTACTTCTCTGCATCATTAACAAAAAAAAATTAGGTTCTAGTTTCTTTTATTGAGCTGGAGAAAAAGAGAAGTTGAACAAGTTTTTATTGTAAATAAAGCCTTGAATAAATACAACAGAGAACGATAGAGCTTGCCATGTGCATATCTCAAGACGAAAATATTCTGAAGTGCGAGTCGAAAAAAGGGCGCTAGTCGTTTCTTCACGAACTGAAAACACTAATTAAAACTAGTGCATTTACGAGCTTCTGTCCTTCCAAGTTATTGTGCATGGCTAGTTTTTAGCCTGAATCGACGAACTTGTGTTCAATTATTTTAGAAACACATGTTACTTCAATGCTACTGTTACACTACCTGAAGCAAACCACTAGTATTATGTGTTCAGCAAATAAACTGTCACACTATTCTTTCTTTAATGCTACTTTTAGTAGCAGTATTGTTTCAAATGTCTAATATATATATGTTTTTATTTTTTAATTTTTCATATGAAAAATAACGAGAATTAAAAGACGTTCGCAAACACTTGTTTAATTGGCCCACACACATTTTTCAGGCATGAACATATTATTTTCAATTTTTCAGACGATTACATTCTACGACTAGAAAAAAAAACGACTTTATGGTTTAACCTACCTGAAATCCTTATTTTAAAACAGAGATTTAGTCTGTATTTTACATTAATATGCATTTAACTATTTCTGTGTTTACGCCCGTAATCCTCTCGGCAGCTCATTATACGTTTAATAGGCTTAGTTGAAAATACCTCCCAAAATATTGCTGTGACGTCGAAAGCCACAATGGTTTGGTTTGAATTTCGCGCAAAGCTACACGAGGGCTATCTACACTAGCCGTCCCTAATTTAGCAGTGAAAAACTAGAGGGAAGGCAGCTAGTCATCACCGCCAACTCTTGGGCTACTCTTTTTTATCAACAAATAGTGGGATTGACTGTTGCATTACAACGTCCCCACGGCTGAAAGGGTGAGCATGTTTAGTGTGACGGGGATTCGAACCTGCGACCCGAATTGAGCGCCCAAACCACCTGGCCATGCCAGGTTTGTATAGACCCATCCACCATTTTATCTGATTAGTCAGGCTTACTTGTAAGTTAGAGAACAGCTACAAGTATACACGAGGTAGTGTCAAAAATATTACAAGTAACACACCTACCCATAGACAGTCTTACTTTTCATTTTGTGAGCTTATTTCATTCGTAATTCTAAACCCTAAGTTTTCATTAATTAGTTATCACAATCCTCCGATATTTCTACGGAACATGGCCAGTTTAATTCAATTATCACTATAAACGTGACAGCCTTGTCTACATATTCCAAAGAACACGGCTTTATCTACCAGGTTTTTAACTTCAAAAAACGAATCTGATACTGAAGCAGTACCACTTGTGTTATGAACAATTTAATAACAGATTTTTTAAACTAATCTTATGTACATAATTGAATAACTAGAGTTGTTTAAACATTTGTTTAACAACAAGTTAAAGCTTGGAATGGTCTATTCTTTCATTGGGGTGTGTATCTATGATCCAGACTATTTTCGGAGAATTCCACTCCTCACCAGTGACCCTAGACACTACCACTAATGAAATATCAGACCAAACCAAGCCTTCATACTAGTGAGGTGTCGAAAATCAAACTGGTGTATTTACGTGTTTTACACTCACTAAAAAGAAACCTATCATTCTATAGGTATTTGAAGAACTTATAGCAATCCGCCACAATTTAATTCTTGATATTGTTATCTGACACTGGGTAGCTTGTACGTAATTGAATAAGTAGAGTTGTTTAAACAAATGTTTCTTTTTAGTGATTGTAAAACACGTAAATACACCAGTTGGATAATCTCATGTATTATAAAATTATCATGAGGCAATGCCAATATTCGGGGGTAAATTTCTGGAAAACGGTATGCCAGTACTCTGTATACATGCTGGTCCAGTACGTGAACACGCACACTCCGACACCCGTGATGTTTAAAAGCTATTTTATATTTTAACAGCATAGTTAAATATTTTATCGTAGTAGAATATTTTATGCCGGTGTACAGTATACCACATTTAAAACTATTTTTGTATAGTACGTACCTGCTGATACTTACCTCTGCTTGTAGCAGATTGTCACCACAAAAGCTTACATGGTATTCCAGTTTTATAAATATTACACCACTTTGAGTTAAAAGAAAAAAAAAGAAAGCCAGGTTACTCGCCACTTTGTCCCATGCCCTTATTAGCACCTTTCCATTCCTTTTATTTCTCTCTCTCTCTCTCTCTCAAAAAGTACTCTACCTACACATGCACTATGTCCTTTTATCAGCTGCTTCCGTATTCCAGAACCGTTACTCGATGAAGAAAAAGTGCAGAATTTATATTCTGGCCACGTGTGACATCTCAAATGTTGACAAGAAATAGACGCCCACTTTGCTTATTTAGTGGTTCACGCCCGAATGATGGTTGTTATTCAACGTTTAAGTTACACGTGTTACAGAAAGCAGTAAAACGGTGGATCAAAAACGATTATTATATTTTGGAAGAAAATACACAAAAACCAACGTATTAGAAGATATAAAAATACGAATATCAGTATAATCCAAATCTGTATATGCGAGGAGTGGTGGTTCGCGTCCCGTTGACGATCAAATCTCTCTGTTAGGTCAGACAAAATTAGCCCAAGAGTTGGGAATGGGTACTGTTGATTAGTTGCCTACCCTCTAATATGCCATTTTAAAATTAGGGACGGATATACACAAATAGGCAGTGTATAGTTTTGCCCCACAATTCTAAGCAACAAACAAACCAAATCTGAAAACGTAAGAAGATGAGGTCCCTTGAAATTCATTAAGCGCTTTGAATGATGGATTTCAAAATAAATTACTTTGTACTTTATGTAATCTAGATATTAAAATGATTCTAAAACTGGGAAACATTCTAATAAAATGATGATACTTACATGAATTAGATGCTATAAAAAATGCGAGAAATTACATGTTCAATTCGTAGGGTTATGAATATCACAAGTTAACCGGAATTTTCAACCTGAGGTCCCCCCGGTGGGACAGCGGTAAGTCCTTGGATTTACAACGCTAGAATCAGGGGTTCGATTTCCCTCGGTGGATACAGCAGATAGCCCGACGTGGCTGTGCTATAAGAAAACACACACATTCAACCTGAGAAATACCTTATGCACACGGAGGCTGAACGATCAAGTCAGAGACCCTTATGAGTAATATATAGTCGTCTTTAATTTTGTAATGACTTGAGGGGGGGGGGGAGGTAGCTAGCCACCACCATAACCCGTCGGTACAAGGGATTTTCTGATTTTTTGAACTGAATAACACGATTATCTGTCAATTTTATAACGCGCCAACAACTAAAAATGAGGAACATGTTCAGCGGCATAACGTTTCAAACCTTGGATCCTTCGACCCGTTTCCCTGCACGCTAATTCCTAGACGACATCCATGTACATGTACAAAAAATATTTTTAACCTTAGCTATTAGTATTCTTCCCATGGTTCTAAGGAGCATTTTACAGTACATGCTGCCTTTTACACACAGAAAAATTCTCAAATATGCATAGTATCACAGCTCAGTAATACAATAAATATATTGCGTAGTTTGTACATTTTATAAATCATCACATAAATACTAACCTAGCAATATGTGATTAAATAATATGATAAAAGATTTCTAGTGTGTGTATACATACACACATATATATATATATACACATACATATACACGCACAATGTGTATTTGTGTGTATATAATTAAACAAGTTTGTCAAAACAACTAGAATTACACATATAAGAAAGACAAATAAAACTATGTGGGTTGCAAGAATCACATACCTCTTCTATCGAACATATTTAATACAGTAAAAAGTTTTTAGATTTTTCGAGAGCTCTAGTTCTTAACTGCTTGGTAAATCCAGATTAGGTCATGGGCTAGGTAAGCCTTATGTATTATTCTTTATGGCAAGAGTTGGTCAACAATTTCAACATCACCTTCAGTGTAGGGATACTTTACGACTGTCACGTGGAGGAGAGCAGTAGTTTCCAAACTGTGTGTCGCGAGAATTTTACCAAAATGAATAATAATAATAATAACATAAAAAAAAATCTACAAACGAAAAATAATTGCAAGTGGCAGTAGGAGTGTCTCGCAAATCAAGGTAAGTGTCGTCAGTGAAAATAGATTAGATACCATTGGAGTAGAGATATTTCCTGATCCTTGCGACCCAAAGTGTAATTAGTCAGCCATAGAAAGAGAATGACAATTGTGAGAGCAGTTTTGACTTTTTCAGAGACTCATAATAGGTTGAACTGTCACTTTTATAACATGAAAGTGCGGAGCGCGCTTAGCGACATCACTTCTTGTTCCTTGTCCTTTTTATTTTCTTTAGATTTGCCGATCAGTTGTTATTTTCATCTTGTCTGTTGTGCACGATAAATTCCGTCTCTTTCATTTTGCCGGCTGCGAGTCAATCACGTTTCTTTTCACCACAATGATATGCTGTAAATTACAGTGTAGAAATAATAGAAGTTATCCTTGTATAGGAAAGCACTTACGGATGAAATACCTACAAAGTGATAGGAACAACTTGTTACTAGATTTATCCTATATATATACATGTTTGCAACTTTTGAAAAAAAAATATGTATTTAGTTTAAAATTATTTACGTTTAGTTTAAATATGGTAATTGAACGTTTTTATTATAGATTATCTAGAAAATTACATCTCGAAAAGTGATCTTTAAGGTCACGAAACCGATAGAAAATAATAAAGAAGAGGAAAAGAGAAGAGTTCAAGGATTGTAGTGGAAACTTGTAGATATTTTGATTCTATATTTAGATAAGATATTCGATTTCCAATATAACCCACTGTGAAATAACTACGAATATACCTCTTTTAGGAGCCTGGCATGGCCAGGTGGTTAGTACGCTTGACTCGCAATCAGAGGATTGTGGGTTCGAATCCCCGTCCCACCGAACATGTTCGCCCTTTTAGTCATGGGGCGTTATAATGTGACGGTCAATCCCACAATTCGTTGGTAAAATAGTGGCACAAGAGTTGGCGGTGGGTGGTGATGAGTAGCTGCTTTCTGTTTAGTTTTTCCCTGCTAACTTATGGACGGCTAGCGTAAATAGCCCTCGTGTAGGTTTGCGCGAAATTCAAAAACAAAACAAACAAACAAATCTCTTTTAGCTTGTCGTGCTAAGACAACATTATTTCTCTTAATGCATTTCAGTAAACAGAACGCCACTAGCATGTTTGTAGAAGGGAAGATATGAAAGAGAACAAGAGACCAGATACAATCCATCGTAATCTTAGGGTTGCAGATTTCCCGAGAATCAATCTTCCATGACGACTTTTAAAATACACCTAGGTTGACCGCTGCAGATAACGTAAAAGCTGCTTGTTTCCGCATTATACACGGAAATCAGTAAAAAACAAAAACAAAACGTATTATCTATAACTTCTAGTAACACTGTGAACTTGTATATATCTTATCCATGTACTATTTCCCTGAACTGAAAGTGGTGCTAGAAAGAAATTAATTAGGAAAGGAAAAAGGATTTCTAAGGTATATGCTATGTGGTGGTGAATACATAGTCATCACATAAATAAAAATTAGCTTAATAAATCTTTCTAGCTTATGGCAGTACATCGATGTAATAAAGTGGTTTTATGGCTTTGTTCAATTAGATATTAAAAAAATATAGCTTTTTATTTCAATTACTGCGGTGTTCGTCTAGTAACAGTGGTTAAAATTTCAGTGGAAACCCGTTAAATACATTGTCCCTGTTGTACATCTGCTTCAGTAGATTACACTCTTGTAAAGTTTCATAGTCATTGTAGTTAATGATACCATTTACCGTAGTGGTTTTTACAAGTACGTTATAATGATCGCATCCGCTTTCAATAGCCTTATTTATTATGTTTCAGTTGGCTGTTGTGCTAATAAACGCTAGAGGGTACAATGAACATATAAAAACCTGAAATAAGCAGAAAATTAAAAGTTTGATAACTAAGAATTAGCGGTACTAGAAAGACTACAAAAGAGGGGTGTAAATGGGGCAGCCAAACATAAAATTGTGAACATATCTGTTACCCCAATACACATCGGAACTAATTCTGAGATGTCTGTCATATGATCGCATACTGAATCGCAAAAAAAAAGAAGATATGTGACATCAGGACATCAACTTTTGAAATATTATGTGTGATGTATTCTCACAAATTTTCTCCGAAATAAAATTATTATTGAAATGTTGAGATTTTAAATTTTCTTTTGTTACAGTTTCATTAACAGTTGTCTTGGATAAAATAATTTAAAAAAGTCAAAACTTTAGCCCTAATTGTCAATTTTTAGCTTCCTGTTGGAATTTTCATTCAGACTGTGGAAATAAAAAACTTCTCTCCCGCAAAGACTACTTATCAATAGACGATACAAAAGGGTAAATGCATAGAGTTACAACAATTTTCAAGCACACATTTTCAAAAGTTTCGTTAAAAACATCCCCCTCTTGCTGTTAAAAGTGGGGACGGATAGGGTCCTCTTTATAAAGAGATGGTAGTCAATGGCCTATTGCCCCTCTTCCTGTCTCCGGGGCATATGCTGAGAAGACCAACAAAAAGAAATGCTGATATATTGCAGCTAAAGAATATAAAAAGCTGATATGTTGTAGCTTTTAATATAAAAAGCTCACGCATTCAAATGTCAGGTAAATACTCCAGTTATCTATAATCTCATGGAGAATCCCATACAGACCTAAATGTTGATCACCAGCATCGCTTATTATAGCTTGAACTTGACCTGTAGTGGTTAGCGTATCTTAATAGGGAGTCGAGAGTCTCGGGTTCGAGACGTGATGCTACCAAACACGCTTCGAATTTTCAACCCACTTTGATTTACCCATGCAAGATTATGTTTCTAACTAAACATATTTTTATTATTTGACTGAAACATACTGACTTGTCTATCGTCGTAGTTTATTAGATATACCAATCTGTATCAAGGGGCTATCTTACCCGCCTATTTGTTTTAATCCAGCTATTTTAAGTATTCTTTTTATATCTCAATGTTTTGTACCTTAGTTATTAAGAATGACCATGCTTGTAC